TAGCATGTTCTCTTGGAAAACATAATGCGTATCGGGGAGCCAAGTCTTCGGGATATGCTGCATTCGGCCGCTGCCCCCCCGGTTCGGCAGCTTGCCGAAGATATTCTGTTGATTAAGGTTCGGATCTGGGCCGTTATCTGCGGGGGGACCTAAACTTCCCATGTCGGGATCAGGCTCAGCAAGGTACCGGGGAGCGCTGAAGACGCAAGGGTGGCCCGGGTCCGTGGGTACCCTAACCCAAATCCATTGACCTCTCCAGTCCTTGTCTGAAGAGTCGTTCGGCCACATGGTTAGGTACTGGGGCCGAGACTCAATCCGGTACCACCCAGAACCATGACTTCCGTGCCCACTTTGAATATTTGGCACTAGCCGATGAAGCTTTTTGAAGTAGTGCAGGTTCGGCACATACCTAAAGAACTTGCAGACCCATAAGTATGTCATCACCCTTCGGATGCTAATAGGAGTTAGCTGACATAGGGAAATATTGTAATGGATCAGCAAGTCTCGGACGAATACGTCCAAAGGGAACCTCAGCCCATACTGAAGTTGTCTTGTGTACACCCCCACATACCCCGGGGGTGGACGATGGATTCTATCGGATGCCACGAGCATTCGGCACCAATACCCATCAGCTTCAAGGATGCCGTAATGCAACTCAATTTGTTCGGCAAACCGATATTATTCGGCATTCTCCACCCACCATGAGTAGAGGCGGTTCTTTATCATGGCCGAAGCTACTTCGGCATCCTCCCACTCTGAAAACCCGGGAAGGATATCCCAAAGGACAGCGGGAACTTCATCGTCCCGCCCAGAAGCGCTCGGCCCCTCCGTTCTCTGAGGAGGAGCCGAAGAAATTGGAGTCGCCCTAATCCCTTCAGCAGGGTCAGACTCTGCTCTTTGTCCATTCCAGGTCCCAATCCTGTTCATGGGATCGGAAATTGGCCTTGCTCTTCTTGGAGCACGGGCTCTACCCCTAACTCCTCTCGCCATTGATAATTTCGAAGAAAAAAGTCGAAAAAAGGGGAAGGAGTTCAAATTCGAAGAAAAATAAACTAAAATCAAAGGAATTTAATTTAGTCTGAAGCGAAAGTTGCCGATTTACGAATTGGTAGTGGCGAGTCTCAGTTTCTAAGCTTAATGCTCGGGGAATTTGCGAAGTTTTGATGCGGGTTCTTGGGTTCTCTCGAGAATTCTGGGTTTGTGTTGGTGAATAAATGAGGAGAGATGACGCGCCTCTAATTATATCTCCATAAATGGGAATACGGGGAGTCCGCGTTTCAATTTCTCTTAAATACCCCACTAAGTAACCGTTAAACACACGACCTTGCGATTAAACTGCCCATTATCCGTCCAACTTCCACAATTATCCGCCTTAACTGTTGTTATCTCATTAATTACGGTTTAATTACGGTTTAAATTCAAATTTTTGGATTAATTAAATCATTCACTTCCCTCCTTTTCTGATTAAATCAAACCCGACCTGTCATCCTTCCAAATCGGGTCTGGGGGGCAAGTTGTTTGGGTCCAATTTAGTCCAATTGGGCCTAGGCATTAAATGATCCAATTAAAAGCCCAAGGTCAAGGTTCATCTCTCCAATTGTGCTAAAGTCAAAGATCAGTCCTCAAGGCAAGCCAATTGGGCTAAGGCCCAACTTCTCCATACATGCAAAGGTATAAAAGCCATCAATATTACATTTGTACATTCATTCAAGCAAAGCCTCAAGCAATTAATTCTCTTGCATAGTGTTCTCTTTCTACACACTGTACTGACTTTAGCATCGGAGGCGAGGCTAGTTTACGTGTGTTTACTGTGCAGGAAACCTTCGGCCCAACATCACTTGGATCGAATCCAGTCTTCTCCACTTCATCGGACCTTCGACAAGGTCCCATTGTTTTCACCCGAAACAACTAATATACAATTAGATTAGGTACCGTGTCATGCACGATAATTTTCCCTATTTATTATTAGTTTAACACTATATTTAATTATAATAATTATCAAATTGCAAAATAAGATAAAAAAAATTTGTAATTAAAACTATAAAATAAAATTATATAATACTAAAGAAATAGTGAGAGTATTACATGCACGACTAATAAAATAATTATGGATTACATCACAAAGTTATATGTAGGAAAATATTATTGTATAGTATTAATAAACGAATAATATTTTGTTGAATGTGTATAATTGGAAAATAATTACCAAATAATAAGAGAAATATTATTGCATAGGATTAAATATTCTCTAAGAAGCTTTGGCCAAAAAAAGAAAAAAAATTGGCACGAAATTTATTATAAAGGAGATGACATATCTCATTTCTGGTATTCACGTTTATTAAAATATATAGTTATAGTTATAGTTATAGATTTACTTTCTCCGTTCTTTTTTACTTGATCCGCTTTAACTTTTACACTATTCACCACCTCTCCTTTGACCGTCTTTTGTGAATAATATGTAAGGAAAAACGTATTCATGTGGGATCTTTTTTAATTCATCTCAATAAATACTATCATAATATACAATTTTTATAATTTTTACTTATGGAAAATCAAAGTTATTGATCGTTAAACTTTTGCACTTGCAAACGTGATAAAAAAACAGGTCAAGTAAAAAAGAATAAAGAAAATATGTGTTAATGTCAATTTGATGTAATATAACGTAAAGATTTTTTTTATTTTGTACTATTTATTAAATCCAAAGGATTGTAATATATCAGAAAAAATTGCAAATAATATTAATATTAGTAATAAGGTCTGTTCACTTCACCTTAAAAAAATAATATTAAGTAAAAATAATTTTAGTTTAGTAAAAATCAGTTTTAATCAGTAAAAATAATTTAAGTTCAGTAAAAATAAGTTCAATAAAAATAATTTCAGTTCAGCAAAAATAATTTCAGCAAAATTAATTTAAGTTCATGTACATTGATGCTTTTTATACTAGGATTTTTTAATGGAAATTATTTTTTTCCAAATATATTGCAAAATATTGTTTTTTTTTTGTTCATATGAGCCACTAGGGCGGGGATGAGAATCGATCCCAGGATCACCTGAAATCGGGAGGAAAGCTCTTACCAACTGAGCTATCCCTCACTCTCTGCAAAATATTATCGTATAAGATTTTTTTTTATACTTCACATATATTTTTTTATGCATTACTTTTGTCTACACTTTTATCACATATTGTATAGTTATAAAATATAATATCTTTTTTTTTTGTCTAGTATAAAATATTATGTCTTATTGATAATATTGTAGTCAGTTATATTTGGTAAATACAAGTACTATATTTTATAAATGGGTAACAAGTTCATCATAATAAGATACCTAATCATTTACAATAAATTCAATAAGATATTGAAATATGATATTCATATATGATTATATATACATGATCTATACAATACTACAAATATGTCATTATAATTTTTTTTGCTTAAATATCACATGTCTTGATATGATCAATCAAACTACCAATATTTGCTATACTGTAAATTCCACGCAGTTAATCAACGTATACGTAGTAAAAAATTGACTGACAATTCAAACCAAAATATTTAATTAACCAGATTTTTTTCATGCATGTCATAAATTGTGCTAAAGTCTTTGGGTTTGAGATCATGAACTCCAACTCGCTGCTTTCGAAACTATTTTAACGATCAACTATTTGTAACAAGGTCTATATATTTTAACAGTCTCATATATATACGCATGCATGTCAGAGTTGATATATTTAATTTGACAATCATATACATTATCATTATAGGCCAACCATTTTTATATACAATATTATGTAAATTTAAATGGTTGGCATAATATATTATCGTGATATATGCCAACTATATAAATTACAAAAATAGATTATTTTAAATATATTATATATATATATATATATATCACTAGAAATAATATTTAAATCAGTAAAAATAAAATCAGTTCAGTAAAAACAAGTTCAATTCAGTAAGTATAAGTTCATTTCAGTAAAAATAATTTCAGTTCAGCAAAATTAAGGTGAAGTGAACGGGGCCTAAGAATATTTAATTTCTATTATAATATATAAATTAAATATATATAGTATAATATTATTGTCTTAAATAAGTTGTCAATCAAGAAAATATAAAAAGAAAAATAAAGTTAGACTATAGTTATTTTTGGAAAATGGTTTTTGTAGGGAAAAAACGACATCATAAAGTGACATGTGTCACCACTGATATCTGTTTTAGTATTATGTTATTATTATTATTGATTGTAGTTGAAATTTACTAGTCACTAATGTATTTTGTTTTGCATATTTATACATTACGGAGTACAAAACAAATTTTATTTTCTCTGATTCATTTTAATATCTGGTTTTGAGAAATGGTCAACCGTATTAATTTGTTTAGATGATAAAGAGTAAACACATCTTTGCTTTGAGGTAAGTTTATGAGTAGGCAACTAATATTTGCCTTTAAGATTTGGAAGAGTGTTATCTATTAGGGTGAGTGATCATTGAATGTGATTGCTTTGCATAATTGCAAATAGCCGATATAGGTCATAACTATTCAAGTTAAGTCATGGTCATGTCTGATTGTCCAATGATACATCAAATATAATTTATTGTAATTTAGGTCATGTTCAAACCAAGTCAAGACTCTCTTTAAGATCAAATTGACCATGTCTATTGAATCAAACAATAATTTTTTTAGTCTGTTCAGAGCTCTTGATAATCGCGTCCGAAAACTTAACCCAAACCTGGCACAATCAGATCAAGACATGGCTGATCAGGTACCGTCTAATTCAGGTAAGTCGAAGATTAGGAATCAGATTGAACCAGTAAATTCAACATTTAAGATATATGTACATATCAAGTAAACATATCAGTTTCTCCAGTAGTTGAGTTGGGATGGTTAGTTCAACTTGTGGCAAACTGAAGTCTTAAACTACAAAATATCTGTAACAGATTCAAACAAGAACAGCTAAAAAGACCTAATGATCAACAAAAAAACAGAAAAGATCAGTTGAGTAGCAAACAAACTAGTCAATTTATATGTACAAAAGTACAAATGATAATATCTACATCCATCATAATGTATGTGTCCATCTAATAATATCCACCCTGTAAATATCAAAGTGGATATTTCCATACCCGAACAATCGATATGCTTACATACATGTCTAGCCAAACTCAACAGGTCACATGACTCACATCTATCTCATGTGTCCACCTTACTATAGTGTGGAAATTGAGACTTTTCATTATGATGATCGAGTGAACTTTATGTAATACAGTACCTTAAACTTATGCTCCAATGCAGTTGGAGTCCCGAGTGTTGACAACATTGTAGTATAAGGTGGATGATCGATCATCAAATTTGGAGATCAAATGATGCGCGAAGAGTCCACAGTATTTCTTCCCCATCCTCGCGATGAATATGTCAGTCACTTTCTTAAGCATGCTGTCTTCTTGGATCCATGGTTGCTTTACAAAATCTACCACAGGCATCCACTGCATATGTGCAGGAAAAGATAAGAAATTAGAAAGTTAATACTTGTTTGATTGTCAAAAAGGCCAAAGTCTAACGCCTTAACATATAATAACTCCAATCCAGTAATCTGCATACCTTTGCAGCTTCAATTTCGTGATCATCAACCTTGATTTCAGAAGAAAGAGGCTTTAGCATACAAATGAAGAACAAGTCTGATTTTTCAAAAGCCATGTTCTGAGCATGCCTGAAAATTAAGTTTTACATTTAGATTTTACAGACATAAACTGTAATTGTAGTCCCTCATCAATGGAGGGTTGATATAAACTGCAAGTAAATTGAATAATGCATATCTGTTGTGCTACTTGTATTAAATATTTGAAAAGTTGCTAAGGAATATATTGCAAGTTCACTACCCCTCATTAGTCTCTAAAACCAAGCTTAACTATGACATGGACCAAGTTTAGTTACCTGAAAGCAATTACTTCTACGAATTCAGTATCGATCTGCAAACATTCAACAAGACAAAATCAACATCTATGCATTGCAGACACTGGATTATGCTAACATAACATGCTCGGCATCATTTCCAATTCTCACTTTCTGATGAGATTTCATAAGTTTAGTCAGATACTAATTAGGTTAATTTTGTACACTGACAGCAATAAACAACAAAATTCATAACTTGTTAATGAATGGACTAAACAAATCATAGGCCAAAGGAAGTTTCAGTCTCACCCCAGTTTCCTCCTGGACTTCTCTAACAGCTCCAGTGTATATCTCTTCAGACTAATCAACAACACAAATCAGAAGCAACATGAGCTAATAGAAAACAAGGTATTAAGTCTACATAGACTTTGTTTGGAACGTAGGCAGAAATTGATTGAGCCACAGAAAATATCGAATACCTCATGAATGAAACCAGTAGGAATTTTCCAAAAGCCAACATACGGTGGAGCACAATACTTCTCTTGCACCACAAGCACCTATAAATGATCAATAAACGATGATCCTCAGGATAATATTCACTTATCTTGAAGTGTGAATATACTAAGAATTGCAAGGAAATTGCACCTCATTTTTGTCATTGATGACAAATCCTCCAACCCCTACTTGGTGTGAGGCATTGGCCGGTAGCATACATGGCCCTTCCGGAATCCAATAGGTTAGCATTACATAACCACTTTCTGCGTGATGATATTGGAACCCTTCCTACATAATTTATAGGTAGCAAACTAGCAATAAGTCCCTTTGCTCCAACATAATGGTAATATATGATGTTGACGTTAAAGCTTGTAATATTTGACCATTTATCACAGTATTGAGCAATACTGTGAAAATACAATCACTCCAGCTTAAAAATTTTACTTCAATTTTCAAATATGACCAATTATTTCATTATAAAAAGAGTGAATATTATCTAAAATATTTGCCTGAATGCTCAAAACTAGCAAAGACAAACCATATAGTCGGGTTGATACTAATAATGTGCGGAGTAACAATTATCTCGATTCAAAAGTAAATTATATTTCAAGGGGTTTTAAGATTCACCTTTATTGCCATAGGTACTAGCTCTGAATATTCTGATGGCAATTTAAGCCAAACTCCTTTCTTTCCCTAAAAACATCAAAACCTTGTTTAGCATCAATTTGATGATTTTCCAAGAAATCAACGGAAAATGGAAGTAATTTACCTTAGTTATCCACTGAGAAAGTGAAGATTGAAGCAGAGAAGCAAAAACATTTGGATTAGATGGTAATCTATCTGGGTTAACAATAACTCCTCCATACTCATCATCAAAATAATCCAAAGTTCTTGAAATTGCTTCATTTATCCCATTAATCTTACTTTGGAACAACAATGTTGAAGTTGCTACTTTATTACTAGTGGCTGAATTTGATACCCTTGCACAAATTACTGCATAAAACACAAAATTTAAATCAAACCCTTCATTTTTAAACTCAACATCATAAAATGAAATACCACATTTATCATACAAAAACTAAAAATTTGCGAAGTTGACTTTTATGTGATTTGTCACGCCTAGACTTATTGTATACAATACACCCGTTACGGATTATTCTCATGAATTGGACAAATTTAAAGCAGAGGATACTCTGTTTTTTGTACTCTGTTCATAAATTAAAATTGAAAAATCAAATCAAAACAACCTTTATAAAAAATGTAATGCACCTTAAATCCCAAATTAAAAATAGAAAATTAGAGAGAATAAAATAAGAAAAAAATTATACCTTTAGAAGAATTAGACTTTGGATATGAATGTATCCCAAAAAGGGAAGTGGGGTATGAAGAAGTTCTGAAACCAACATCTTTAGGAAGAGAGAGGAATTTAGCTTCAAGCATATTGAGCTCCATTAATTAAAACCCTTAATTAAGAATGAATTAGAAGATCTAATTTCCCAGGTATCATAAATAAATTATGATTGTTGGTGGGTCAATTTCAATGTGACTAAACTCAGTTGAAATTAAGAACAAAGATAATATTTTTGACAACAAATAATTTAATTTGAGACGTATTTGTTTCTGTTCTTGAGTGTTGTGCGAGGAATCAGTAGTGATGAGGAGAGAGAAAATAAAATGGGGGGAGTTGGCCCTGTGATGGAGCTCCCAAGATATCTGGATCCTTTTAATAAAGAAATTGGATTAAGTTGGGCAAACCTAAGGATATGTGGTTGTTATTATATACAAGTACAACAAACAGAAATTTTAAAACTTGAAATTTGACACATTGAAAATATTTTTTTACACCGTCCACAGGAACGCGGTAAGCCTATTAGTAGGAAAGTGTTTGATCATATGTAACATATGTAACTATGTGAGCCTATTAGTAAAATTTAAGAGTAGCTCGCTGAACTAATATAGTGATATGTTAGCCATTTATTCTCTTTTCGTTGATGTTTGACAGTTACAAGTGAGATCTTCTTCATTAAATTCTCAAATTTCATGATATAACTTTAATACTCCTTATATTTTTAGTTAAAAGTTTCATTACTCTAAAAAAACTTGTTCCTACGTTAAAACTCAACGCGATCAATCATCAATTAAGCTTTAATTCACTTTTAATCAATAAAAATTACAAATCTCTTTCTATCCAATCATAATCAATTTTGAAGATTAGATATATGTCATTATAAATTACAAATTCACTTTTAATTAAATCCCATCATGGAATTGATTAACAATATTGCAAAAGCATGTCTAAAATCATTTAAACCATAATGACCGGTGATAATCGTGAGACCATAATAAAATCTTTGATAATTCACAAAATGATGCAAATATATTGAAATGAATAATTCTAACTAATAAATCTTATATTTCAATCTAAATTGAAATTGATTATGTACATGATTATCAATTCCAAACGAAAGAAACAAGAGGAATCTCAATAATCTCATACTTTGTGACATACGATGATCTAGTCATTAGCTGAGTCACAAGTTGGTAAAAGAAAGATGGAATACACGAAACTAGATTTAAAATGGAGATTCTTGTCAGAAATTCATCACTCCAATGTTGTCAGAAAGTCACTCATGATTCTTGTCAATACCCCACTAAAATAACTGAAATTAATAAAAGAGTACCTAATGAGCTGCATAATCATACTGTGTTGGATAAACATCTCACAGTTTCACCCAACAAATGGCACCAACATGAATGATGCCACCAGCATTATTCTTATCCAAATGGAATCATGCATTTTCATATCTTTATGCATTTTTGTGAGTGTGACCTACGATATTTTCCACCTTGCCGTTATGGCTTCTTGTTATTTTAGTCACATGCACCATTCTCTTGCACGAGCATGATACATATTCCGCAAAGGCCGAAATACCTTAAAAGAGAGATGGAGTAAATAGTGTAAAAGTCAAAATTAAAAGTTTTTTGTTTGGTAGTATAAATAAATATTTTAAAGAAAAATTTAATAACAATAAACCAACTTTTGTCCCGTTCTCCCCAAAACGAACCAACCTTTAAATCTGCCCAAAATAAACACAAGTTTGTATTTTTTTCTCTCATATTAAACCCAACTGACCTATGACTAGAACAACTGGTCTTTTTATTTATTTTCCTTTAATTATTTTTTTTAAATTAACAAAATAAATTAAATTAAATAAAAAAAAAAAACTCAAATCTCCCCAAACCCCACTGCCAACCCCTCCTCCCCCACCCCACTGCTCACTCCCTCCCCCTGCAGACGGCCTGCCGGCGGGCGGCGGCCGGCTCCCAACAACCACCACCACTTCACTCGGCGGGTAGTTGTTGTTTGTTTTAAATTTAAGAAAGGGAATCACTTCAACAACCACCACCCTTCAATCTACTTATTTACCCTTCACCTTACGACCACTACTTTTTCCACCGCCCTCTTCACCACCTACCGTTGTCGTCATTCCCAACCGACCGCCATCCGCATGCTACCACCGTCACTCCTCTCTCTCTTTCTCTTTTATTTTTGAGTAAGTGTTGTTAGATCTAGTTTTTGGTTGTTTTTGTGAGTAATTATTGTTAGATCTAGTCTTGTTTGGGTGTTTATGGGTTATTTATGAGGGTGGTTAAGGGTCTTTATGGGGTGTTTGTGGGTTGTTTATGAGGGTGGTTAAGGGTCTTTATAGAGATGGTTAAGATTTTCTTTGTGGTTTTTGTGGTGGATGTGGTGGTTTTTGAGGGTGATGGGTAGTATAAGTAGTGTGGGGGGTAATTTTTAAGGGGCGTTGAGTGGTGTCATGGAAGGTGGCGGAAAGGGAGAGGGGTCGCCGGAGCTAAGGGAACGGGTTGGGCGCCGGCTACCAGCTGCCGGCAGTGGAGGGGTGGCTGGTGGGGAGGGAGGGCTGACATTGGTGGGGAATGGAAGGGTGTTTTTTTTAAAAAAAAATTATCAGAATTTTTAAAAATGTAGATAAATAATTTATTTAAATTATAGAATTTTTTTTAAAAAAACCAATGAGGACATGACACGTGGATTGCTACCTGGTATAATAGGTCAAGTTACCTGCTTAGTTTAATATGATAGAAAAATTAAAAATTTAGATTTATTTTGGGCAGATTTAAAGGTTGATTCGTTTTGGGAGAACAGGGCAAAGGTTGGTTTGTTGTTGTCAAATTTTCCTAATACATGTACGATAACAATTTTGGGTGAGTGCTTTCCCTAAATAATGTTGAAAAGAGCTGCAATTCCATAATTACATTTACTTTTTTTTTTATAGATTCTCAATTTACTTATATATATATATATATATATATATATATATATATATATATATATATATATATATATATATAGGTAAACCGCTACTTCAAGTAGCAATTTTGCCAAAAAAATCGAAAAAAAAAAATGATGTATGTATGTATGTATGTATGTATATAATAAAAAAAATAATGATGATGTATGTATGTATGTATAAAAAAAAATAAAAAATAAATAAAAACCTGACTTTCTTAGCTTTCTCTCTTCTTTTCCTTTTCCTTGGTATTGTCGTTCAAACCAAAGTCCCCTTTCTCCATTGTTAATTCACTCTAAAGCTTTAGATTTCAATCAAATTCCTCTCATTCATTCTTCTAAATTCATTATTCATTGCCCATCATCCTCAAAGAGTAAAAGTTATGGTGGGTGGATTTCTTATTCAATTTGGGGATGGATTGAGTTTGGGAATCTGATTTTTTTGATTCAAATTCTTTGGGATTATAAATTACGTCATCGTCGAGATTCCGCCATCACCATTGTAATACCCAGTATTTTTATACGTATTTTAATTTAAATTATTATTTTATGAAGCATTTAAATAATTTGAATTGAATTATTTATGGTATTTTATTAATTTAAAAAGAATTATTTTAATTAAAGGTCCATTTTTATTTATTTAATTGCTTTGAAAATATTTTATTTTATTATTTAGAAACTTTGGGGCATGTTATTTTATAAAAGGAAATTTAAAGGCAGTGATATTTAAAGAAAGTCAAATGACTCGTTTGAATAGGAGAAGGGACCATTAAGAGTAGAAAGGGAATTTAAGCTTAGGAGGGTTTTAGAGAGGAGGTATAAATAACCATCTTATGAGCAAGTTAAATCTTGCCCAAGGTGGAGAATACCCAAAGGTAAACTCTCTCTCTCTCTCTCTCTCTCCTCTTATTTTCTCTCTCCTTTAATTTTTCCCCCTCCCCTCTTCTCACATCACACGACACACACACACACACACACCGTGCACGGGTGGCCGGCTGGCACCACCATCACCGGCCAACCACCACTAGCACTCGCCGACAGCAACAACCAGTGGGAGGCGGTGGCAGTCGTCCTCCCTCCTCCTTGTGCATGTGGTTCAAAAAAAAACACCTCTTTTTTTGTTTTAAAATTATTCTAGCCTTGATTCAATTATTATTTTGGGTTGTGTGATGATTTTTATGATGTTTGATTATGATTATTATGTATATAATTTTCAGATTTATTTGAATTAAAAAGCCCCAAATTGAAAACCACAGGTTTCTAAATTAATGTATGTTGATGGAAATTGATTGTAGGTGATTGAAACTATTAAATAGATGGTTCTGAACATAATCACAGCAATTTTATGTGTTTTTACAAAGCTGAAATTTTTATATAAAGATTAGAATTGTGTTTCTTGAAAGGATTTTTAATTACCCATTAATTGGAATAAAAGTAGGGGTTTAAAATTAATTTTCAGCTTGTTTTAGAGGGTTTATAAGTGATTTAAAGAGTGTATATATTGCTGAAAATTTATATTGAATAGGTATTAATGTCTCTTTGTAATTTTGGGTTGTAGGAGATTTCCAAGTGAATGATTCCGTGTAATCGTGGCGATTTTGAGATCATATTCAAGGTACGTTCGCGTACTCGGTAATTGTTTAAGTGTATAGAAGCATGCTAGGCTTTGTTTAATTAATTCCAAGGTAGTATCATGATAGGTGTTGGTTGGAGTTGTTGATTGGATTGATGTTGGTGATTGATTTGTGAAGTATGGATTATTTGTGGTGAATTGATGATTGAAATTGATTATGTTGGCATGTTGAATATGAACCACACTTTTATTATTGGCATGATTGAGAGCATGTTTAGCTAAACTAAATATTTAATTTGGTTTGGAATATAAAAAGGGAATTTTATTATGGTTCATATAATTTTTATTGATGTTATAAGCATGGGAAAAGAGCTATCTAAGTGTCTATGTACACGAGGAAATTATATTTTGGTGCCTAAGTGCACTGAAGGTGTTTTAAACACCGAGAGATAGGATTTGTGGCGCATTATGCGTTTAAGGTGTTATTTAACACCGAAATAGTTTAAAAAGGGTTCAACATTTAAAATTTATGTGGTCACTAATAATTCAAGAATTAAATTGGTATGTTTGATTGTTTGGATGATTTATTATGATTGATTGTATGATGGTTTGAGAGTCATCACAAAGTCTAAAATATGTAAACAACGTAAAGTGAAAGAGATTACGCACCAGAACTCTTGGAACGTATATACCTCGAGTATGAACATATGGGGGGAGTTATGCGATTTTATATTTGACCATAACTTCTACTGGGAGTATAGGACACTGTATATTCCTTTTATTTATGCGCAGGAATTCAGCCACTTACGAGTGGTTCTTTCATACTAGCACGGTTAGCTCCCGTGTTAGTACCCCTTTATTGGGGCAAGTTAGGGGGAA